CTACTAACTGCTACTAACTGCTACTAACTGCTACTAACTGCTACTAACTACTACTAACTGCTACTAACTACTACTAACTACTACTAACTACGACTAACTACGACTATCTACTACTAACTACTACTAACTGCTATTTACTAACTACTACTAACTACTAATAACTAATAACTACTAACTACTAACTAGTAACTAGTACTACTACTACTACGACGACGACGACGACTACCACTACTACCACCACTACTACTACTGCTGCTGCAGCTACTACTACTACTACTACTACTACTACTACTACTTACGACTACTATTCATTCATGCTCCTGCTTTGGGGGGGTGGCTTTGCCACAAAACTCTACCCCGCAAAAGGCGAAAGCTTGGCGAAAGTTCAGCTCAAGATTGGCGAAAGTTCGCCCTGCCACATCTGACCCCCAGCCCATTATGAGTAAGTGTGAGTGACCATCTACTACAATGATTCTTGCAGTTTTGATTCTTGCTGACACCCAGGAGAAACAAAAGATACGTATGGGTGAAGAAGCCATTGACGTAATTAAAATTGATATCCACATATATACAACATACATGGCACACATAAATACAACATACTTCGGCGAAAGATAAAACGCAGGAAGGCGAAAGTTTGGCTAAAGTATTTTGTGGCTAAGATGACGGATCCCGGATAAAGGAATTTAGATCAACACCCATATAATAATCTCCTGAAAGCCGACATATGCCAACATGGACCCTGAAAAGGAACCTTCGGAAGACGATCCTCCTCTACAAACCAGTGGTTTTCAGGGTTCATGTTAGTTTTCCCACGGGGTATAGACGGACAGTGTTGGAAATGTTGTTCTTTTTGGGGGGTTAGTTGGATGGGGTTTGTACATGTCCCCAGGTCCTTTGTGCTTTGCGTGGGTAGGAAAGAGATAGCACGATAGGACCCGTGGCGGACAGTGGTTAAACCTTCAAGCAGACTTGTATATATTTGAGACGTACAGGGCTGTGGCTTCATGTGCCGCTGCCAGGTACAAAGGCCGCGGTGAATATGTCCAAGCTGGACAAGGAGCACAAGGCACACAGCTGTGGTGAGAACAGGGCGTCCCAGCCTGTAGAGCAGTCGGTTTGTTGGGTCAAAACAGAGAAAGGCCGGATATACCCAACCCTCATCCATTGGGCCCAGGGAACAGGATATACCGTGTTACGGCCAAAGTGTTTTGAATATATATCGTGGTTTCAGAATAGATTGCACAATCCCCAAGATTTTGTACTTTATATAGCCCCCCATCTAAAGGACATCTTGGGGGTTGTGCCATCTACTAAGAATCTACTATTATATATATTTGTATGTATACTATATATATATATATGTATTTATACTACTGATATGTTTCACTGCTTCGGAAGGAAGTGATGGATCCAGAATCCAGACTCAATCGTGGCAAAAAAATCCAGCACAAATCCAATCGCACCAGATTGTTTTCTTCTAGAGGCATTGCAGGGTCTTGTAGCTGATGTGCTTTCATGACTTTGAATCTACGGACTGAGCAAATCCTCTCCCAGGTCCAGCAGCAATACATGAGGATGCACTGTGAGCATCCGAAGGCACAGCCGAGGTTTTGTGGCGATGGGCACATTCGCCCAGAGTTGTTTGGAGATGGCACACATCCTAATTTTGATTGTTTGGATGCTCAAAGACGAGGAAGATAGGTTGGTGCGAAGAAGCTGTGGTCTTCAGGTTGTAAGTGGCTTTCTTGCTGGGAGATTTACTCTTTGAGGCTTGCAATATCAAATAGGTCAGTAGAAAGAAGGACGCAAAGCTTCCAAAGGCCACAGTCCAAAAAGGTCGGGCGATGGCAGGGATATACTTCGCTTTGCTTTGTCGCCAACCCCAACCCCGGCTCGTTCAGTTGAGCGGCTTGGGCGGGGAAGAGCCCCAAATACAAAAGTTTTGAGTCCTGTGAGGTTCTCATCATTCCCTCCACCACTCTTTGTTTGGAGTGTCCCATCCTTCATCACCCTTCTGAAGTGAGAATCTTAATACATCAATTCTGCGATGTTCCATGGCAATTGCTTCGCCTTGCAGGAAGATTGGCTCCTTGCCCTTCCGGCTTGTTTCGCTAGGCACCTTTTTGGTGCGCAACCAACGTTGGACGTGGATTCCACCAGGTTTTCATCAAGCGGATACTGGACACCAGCCTCAAAGCTTTGGAGTTGTAGAGAGAGGGAGACAGATGTCTCCCCCAAAAGCATCCACAAAAAACAATGGATATGCTGATGTGTGCTGTTGCCCATCATTAAGTTTCCTGATGCTTCCTCTAGTACTTGAAATCAGTAGACTGTTGAAGCCCGATATGGAGAGGTTTTACAAAGACTCTTTTCGGCGAATCTTCCACGTGTAGGGTGAAACAGATGTTGAAGTGAAGACCATGTTTGAGACCAGAAGTGACCAAAGCTTCCTTGAAATCGTTTCACCTGTAGTAACAAGGGCCTCGCTACTAGGAACAAGAAGCTACTAGGTTGGAGGATGTTTGTTGAAGACTGACCATTTTTGAGCTAGGAACATGAAGCTACTAAAAACTCGTGGCCTTACTACTAGGAGCAAGGACGCTACGATCGGGGCTCCTGGCATCGCTACTAGGAGCATTCTTACTGCTAATGACTTGTATCCACCAAACTCTTTGCATCGCCGGCTCTTGGGGCGGGTCGTGCCTTTGGGAGCGCGTGACGTTCCCATCCAAAGCGGTCCTTTGTCTTGTTGTTTTGACCAACAGGAACTATTTCATCATGGAACATCTTGAGAGATCATCACATGTCTCAAATGGATTCAAATGGATGGGGTGTTCAGAGAGACGGCCCAATTTGTATTGCATCAATTTGTCAAAGCCTGGGGACCCTATCCATAGTGAACAAAATCAGAGTTCTGCGACGAACACTGGACATTCCATGCCTTCACCTTGCACGAATCCTTTTTGCTTTTTGTGTGAAGAAGCTAGCCTTTGAGCTCTATCCAAGAATTCATGCACCTCAAGTAGACAACTCCAGCGGCAAGAAAGAGCATGCCATCCAGAGTCATCCGCATTGATTGGCCACAAATGCTGAAATATGAACCTGCTTTTTCGGACTAGTAACTTAACTTGGCCGGCCGTTGTGGCGGAGTTCTGGCACCATCTGGCACCATGGGATTGTCCATTCAAAGACTTCAAGCCTGAGAACTTGTGCAATTCACTACAAACATCTCGCTTTTCAAATATACAACTCCTCATTGGTCTTGTGCATTGCTTTCATGCTTGGTGAAAGCGGTGGCGTTTGTGTTTGGAAGCAACAGGCACTGTCTCACCCGAGGGGATCCGTCGTTGCTCGCGAAGGAAGAGGTAGATCGCAATACGACGAACATGGACGGAGTCACGTAGGTCAAATGAACCCAGGGAGCGCCCAGGGAGAGCCCTTCGGCCTTGATGACCCTCCCGCGACTGGTTGGCTTTCGACCGTGCCGCCTTCAGAACATGGCTTTCGATGTGCTTGTCTTGGTTGGTCAGAAACACATAGAAAGGAATGTCAGCCAGGAAAGAGCGCAGCAGCAGTCGTTGCTGGCAGCACAGATGGCAGCAACTTGTCAAGAAGAAACTTCCGTTTCTAGTCCCACTAGGCCCAGGCATCACCGGGATTGTATCTAAACTTGATGGGGAAAAGACGCGGATCCTGCGAGCGCATACATTGGTCTCACTCAGGGAATGGTTGCTTTTTGCAGCCGTGTCATTGTTTGCTCGTGGGGAGGAGGGCAAGCCACACCTACCGAATCACAAGACTTCACAAGACAAAGGAGCAGTGAGCTTGCTTGATTCCAGACAAGCTCTAATGCAGTACAAAGACCATATGCAGACGCATATGAAACATGGTTCGAAGACTCAGTGACCCCGTGACATACATCAGGTGGAGAGGTTCTTCCAGGGCCTATGAAAGATGGTGGTTCTTGTGTGTGTTTTCTGTTCTTATTAATTATACTTATGTTCATACATATTCAATACTATATACCCGTACCCAGATGCCTGGTACCCCCGCGGTCAGACTGACGTGGCACGGTTTTCCGCGGCGTTTTCCGTCGGACTCAGGGTGCCGAAAGTATACACTGACGAACACATCACATGGAAGTGGGAAGGACGGCCCCTTTGAGGGTGACGACTTCCTGGATTAGACATGATTAGACTATTATAGCTTCTTTTTCCTATAGTAGTAATGCCCTTTGCTACTCGTAGCTTGTTGTTCCTAGTAGTAATGCCAGGAGAATTGGCCCCTTTGAAGACTACGGGGTGCGGAGCCCACTTCCATGCGGCCATGCGTCTGTCGGAGTGTACACGGCACGAGGTTCCCGCCATTTCGAGGGATCCCTTGCGAATGCTCGCTGAGGTCCGTGCCGCGTCCAAGGCGTTACCACCGCCGGCCCGGATGCCCCGGACGCCTCGGGTTGGGAGATTTGGGGGGGAATGCTAGCAGAGGATGAGGAGTGATTTTTCAGTGATTTTCAAGAAGAATGTAGAGCCGTCATTAAAGCATCTTAGAGTTTTTTTCTCATCATAGGAGTATGCCCGTTGGTCCAAGAACGAGTTTTTTTCCCAATACGATCAATTGGGCCGGTATTTCCGGATGAAGATTTTGGGGACTTGTCAGCCACACACCTTACAGACACATCCAATTTGGGGATTTGCGATCTCTCGGATGTGTTTTTTTGAATGTTGCGATCTCTCGGACCTCCAGGAAGCCACGATAGTGAGGCAATCTGGCAATCGTTGATCGCTGAATTCAGGTTCGAAGATCATATACAGTAGGTGAGTGGCCATTTGCACCGACACTTGGTGAAGGTTCTTGGGTTTGGACCATTCATGGCTCATGAACATTCTATTCATTGATTACCAACCTCAAGGAGCCTGTTACACATCATGGCCACGTGAATCTTGAAACTAGCCATGGGAGATGATGTAAGAGTACAGCGCGCCGATTCTTTCATATTAGTTCAACATTTTTCAACAACTGACTCCAATGCGTTTCCTAGTTGGAGACCCTTCTTTGATGCATGGCAAGTGCCCATTACTAAGACTATATACCTCAAAAAGTGGATGGCACAATTCCCAAGTAGCCGAAACTTTGGTGTTTTTTGTTTTTCCACAGACCCCTCATAAAAGAAAGACATGTTTGCTTTATGCCATCGAAGATCGAACCTTTGAGAGGGCGGGCTTCGGAGCCCTTCGCTTCACTCAGATCTCTCAAGAGCCACCGGGTCCCAGTGACGCGGAATGTGCCAAGCTCGGCGGAATGGGGTGCGACCGGGGCTTGGGGTTCTTGTGGTGGGCTTCGGTATCGGGCCGGTGGTCGAGCGGCTTTTAGAGAGGACACATCCTCCAAGCATCTGGTGTTTGATTCTGTGTTCGCAAATAAACTCCTCCTTTTGCAAGGCATTTTTTGTTGGAAAGTGACTGTTTTAGTAATGAGACCCTGATGGTGACCATCTCCAGCGCACGGAATCCTCGCAGATCACGGGAGATGGACCGTGTTGCTAGTGGCACTGGAGGACGGATGGAATGCCATAGAATTCTCATGTTGTTTGCCTACTCTTACCCTCCCTCAAGCAATCATGGAAGCTGAGCAGACCCCACCAGGGGGGGTGGCGTTCCACGTCCATGATAGTTTCAGGGAATCAAAAGGAGGGCAGCCCTTTCGGAACAGAGCTCAACTATATACAGTAGGAGGAACGGCAGTTGCAGGATGTTGCAGGCCTCGTTTTCAGCGCATGTGAGTGACTCGGGTTAGACATGAAAGGCCTCTCAAGTCGTTCGTGGACGCACGCTGACGCTTTTCACTTCAGGCAGGTTGGCAGGTGATCCAGGTGGGTAGGGATCCATGGTGCCCACTCCTCTCCAAAGGCTTGATGAATCTGGGACCTACACCTACACGGAACACACCCCTCGTTCAGGTCACATGGACAGTGGAAAAGGACGTTGCAGTGTTGCCATGATTGTTGTTAAAAATCCAGCGGTTTTCAGATGTTTTCGGGGTCAACCTTCGTCGCCCTTTGGGGGGGCAACGACCCTTTGAGGGGGCTCCCAGGGGGCCACTTCCTCCAGCTCAGAGGCCTAGCGACCGGACTCCAAGACACAGGAAACTCCTCGAAATCCGCAGCGGATCTATATACAGAGTTCAATCTACGGCCTGAGGCCGGACTTGACTCTGCTTGACCAAAAGCCTTTGGTTCTGCCGAGTGGGATGCAACTGGCTATGTGAAGATATATGTCAATTCATTTTGGGTTGTGTTGCCCGGAGGGCTCCCTCCACCACAAAGACATCGAACAAATTCAACTTATGGTGAGAGGAGTGAATGACTCAAAGGATCATGTCCACACAGTGAGTTCTCTTTCTGGATCGCTTGCTCAAAGCCGAGGTCAACGGCTTTTGCGTCTTCAGGCCGAAACTGACTCGGTCGATCACCTTGGTGGTCGTTTTTTTTCCGAGAACCATCGCATATAGCCTCAGTGTGGAGCACTATGTGAAGATCATGAATGATTATCATGTATATTGTAGACTCTTGACCGATAAACCACCCCATATGAAGAGGATTTCCAATTCATGGGGGTATATACTAATCAAGAGTCCACATTATGTGGCACATCGTGGTACAGAAGTGTGACTTGTTTCCATCCTTGTGGTGTGTGGGCAGGCTTCACAATTTGAATCTCTGAAGGGGTGACTTGATCATGCCGAAGTGCTAGTTTGCATGTGGTTTTGGCCTGTCACTTCTGTCGGAGAAAGCTGAAACAACTGGCTGGAACGAGAGGGTTCCGGGTAGCAAAATCACGTACACCGCACACACTCAATCGAACCTCAAAAAGTGATTCCATGTGTTTACACGCTCTTCGGTATTCTATGTTGGACTGCCACGGTGTATAACTTGATAATACTTGATATAAAGTGTATTACTTTGAGAATATATTCATGAATAGAATTAATTGGTATTAATAGATATATTTATATATCGATGTATGTAATGATGTGCACAGTATGACTGAACAAACACGAATGATCCGAAGGAGTCCGTCGAGGTCTTGAGGCAAGCCTCTTGCCGCAGCCCACGAGAGTCGAAGCTCGAAGAGCGCGTCGTGCGGCGAGCGGCGACTGGGGTGGAGCTCATGGGCCCCAAGAGTGGCAGGAGCGGACCGAGGGTGATCGGGTGGGGAGCGAACGGCCCTCGGCAGGAGGGGCTGAACATAGCTACTATACTAGCTTCTTGCTACTAGTAGGAATGGCCTTCACCCTAGTAGCGATGGCCTCCACCCAGTAGCGTCCTTGCTACTAGTAGCAAATAGCCCAGAAATAGAAAAGTGCATGCTGCATTTACTGCATGCTTTTTGTGCTAACCATGCTTGGGACATCTTGACGTGCCTTTCTTTTGGTCCATGTGATTTTTGGGAAGGTTGGTGACCAGAACCTCTGAGATCACTCTCGGGCCTCCTGATGAACAAGACGACTTGCCCTACGTGGCCAGTTGATCTCATGCGCATGCCGGTTGAAGCAGTCGCCGGTTGATACGCAGTGACTCAGTGACCTGATGTGAGCTGCGCCCAAGGAATTACAGTAGGTTTGCGATGGTTTTGGCAAAGAATCCCAGAGAGTCAGAGGCAGACGTTGCCCATTGTTTATCGGCTGGCATGTGACTGTTGTGCACGGTAGGCATGCGTAAAAAGTGCATAAATGACAACAAGGTCGCCAAGAACAAACAACTCTCATTCTGAACTCCGGAACATGGCAGGACCAAAAAGTGTTTCCCCATCACGCAGGCTTGGCCAACAAAGAGATCCCAAACTCTTCATGGACAGATTTGCCGGTTCCCTCTGCCGGTTCGGCACCGATGGTAAGCTCTCGTGGTCATGAAGTGCTTGAGCCAGAAGTTCAGGTTTAAAGCGGCGAGGGTAAGAACTGAGCTGATCAGGTCATGACAAGAATTTTCATTTGGATCCATTTGGTGGTGATGTTTTGTTTTGTTTTGTGTTCCGCTCATCTCAGAGACCAGTTTTGAGCAAGGACTGACAATGACTCAAATCCACCTCACCTCCCAGCTTTCCATAGGGCTTTCATTTTGGGTTTGGGGGTGAGAGATCCAAGGAACTGGAATCACCATACGATGGACGATGTTCGTTCCGTTCTGTTTGGAGTTTAAATACGTCGGTCCATCCAGGCTGCCAGGCACCGAGTGAAAACCGCTACAGTAATGTACAGGTTTCACCGCAAATTTCATCCATTTGGCATCATGATAGTGTCAGTTGTGTCTATAGTTGTTCCATTTGCCATGGCTTCCGTCAAGCAGCTAGCTTGTTCCATACACTCCATGTGTTTGACTTCTTTCTCTGCCTGCAGCTGCCTGTTCCGCTCCTCCCCAGGACGAAGGCACGGAGCAAGCCCAAAGTGGCGCCCACCCGGGCGCCCAAGCAGAGGCCCAGCAAGGCCGGTGGGTCGGAACGAGCGACCATGCTTGACAGACCTGGAAGGTCGCCTACGAACCGGGGCTCCAGGTGTCAAAACCACAAACCCCCCATCCATGCAAAATCCCATCAATATCACGTTTAGCATGGTTGAGGGCTTTCGGGCACATGCCTGTTTTAAAGCCACATTCCAGCTGGTATGAAGGAAACAATGGCATGATAGCGTAGTTCTTGCCGGGTACTTCCTCTATTGGCTTTATTATGTATACAATAGTCTATATATATGTGTGTGTGATATATGATAGATAGATATATTTATACTATTATGGAATCATTTTTAATTCATTGGTGAGTTATCCCAGACACTCCACGGATGGAACAGCCGTCCGAGGCGGCTCGCAGCGACGAGCTCGGTGCGAAGAGCCGCGCGGGGCCGCGGAGTCGCTCGGCGTCCGGCGGAGTCGCGTTTGATGAAGTGGAACGGGTGTCAAAAAGCATTTGGGGATGGGGAGATGTCACAACGTCCTCAGATCATCTTGGTTCGTCTTGGTTCTGGGTTTATGGAAGTAGTTGGGAACCAAGACCCCTCAAGCAGGTTTTTCAATGAAAGAAGGTCGAAATAAAAAAGCAAAAACATCCCGTGGGTTCACAGGTTCGGTGGCACACGAAAACCGAGGTCGGTGGTTGGTAAGGACCCCCATACAAAAGACATGTCCATGGGGTGAGTGCCATCGAACCTATGAAACCACTGTAGCTTGCTCGCCGAGGAGTGGGATGAGAATGATAGCGTTTGGCTGGAGTTTTTTTTCTCAAGGCATAGTTCCCATGACACGCTGCTTTGGACCCAGAGTCACACCACGAAATGGAGCCCCCTCAAAAATGGGCACAGCTGCAACTCTTGCACCCAGAGCCCCGCCTTTGGAAGGGTTTTCCAGCTCAGGACAGCGGAAACGAAAAGCAGAGGAGGCCGAGCCTGAGGAGTTCGAAGATCCCGACGAGGCCGGTAGGACGTGCCCGGGAACGGAACGGCCAGTCGCTATGACGACCCCAAGCTGAGCTTGGAGGTACAGCGAAACGTGCAACGACCGGGTGTGTGTTCACACCCGGTTCGATTTCGATACAGAACACCTGCAGAGACTCCATGTATACAACGTATACCAGGACCTTCCAAGAGGTGTCTATAAACAGCCTCTTAGAGTAAAGGGGTGTCCAATAAACCACCTGTTGGAAGGTCCGGTATGGGTATTATAGTTTTTCAGTGGGGTGGTGTCAGATGCCGTAGGATGCCATGCATGGAGTGGGAACTGAGCTCGAAGAAACTCGAAACCAATGCCCAAAACGGTGGATCCATTCCAACCCGTGAAAAGCAGAAGGTCTCCATATAGGATCATATAGGATGAATTGAAGTTCATGGGTGATAAGGAGTTGCATGTGAACAACGAGCCGTCCGCCAGGAATCCCTTCCACCTATTGAAAAACATGCCCTCCCCCCCAAATAGAAAACTCCTACGTCGTTTTTGTTAATAGCTTGTCCCCCCAACGAGGGAATCTTAGGAACCAGGCTTTTCCGTCAGTAGGAGTCAGCTGGGGCAAAGAAGATTTTGCATGTTTTGCAGTCAGAAATCGAAAAGCAACCTAGGATAAATTTAACATAATTTAACAATATTTAACCTATCATAGTAGTTAAACATTATTTTGTAAAAATCGTTGAACATCAGCCTGCAGATTGAAGGGTTTTCCTTTCCCTTTCCAACCCTCATTGTAAAAGATGTAGTGGTTCGTCGATAGTCTTCGCTTGTAAACCTTTCCATCAGACTAGCAACTAAAGACTTGGAAAGGTGATGTGGCTGTGCCATGCGGTTTGGCGAGGCCTCTGTGGAAAGTGCGTTTGAGTGACTCCGTGCCAGTGGTGGAAGGAAACCATGCGTCTAAACGCGGCGTGTCGCTGGTGAGCGGGATGATTGGCGTTAATTCCAGTGGGTGGGCACCTAATTAAAAAGACTCTCCCAAAATGACCTAGCCTATGCTTGTAGCTTAGTAGTAATGTAAGAAGGCGGTAATTTTGTAACAAAAAAGAAGTATACAGACGTCGTATTTCATTAGGTGTCTCTGACCGGTGTTTCTAAAACAAAGAATTGGGTCGTGTTTTTTAAAGGATACTCGGGATTTGTGCTGTCATATTGAAACATCACAGATGTAAAGGAATCCTTCAGGCACCCTGCGGACACCCCAAGAAACAGTTGTTGCCCCCATCGAAGCCCTGCAGTTGGAGAGAAGTCTGGGTTGCAAGTGCGCATGTAGGCGTTACGATGCCAAATCACAACATTCCCAAGCCCAAGCCAGAGAACCCCAAGAGAATCGCTTGAGGCAAAGACTGTCAAACATTTAGTCATTGTGGACCTACAGGCCATTCACCAGGTAGCCACTGAAATATACTGGAATTTCTCACCAAAAGAGTTGTTTTGGAACCGATTTTGCTGAGCTGAAGGGATGATTCATGATGACCTCGCACTAAAATAATCAAGGATTCCTGGAGCTGTGGCCATGATGAGCCTGAGACCGTGTCAGAGGATGACAGCGAGGACTGAGTCGGGGCTCCACGGTGTTCGGAAAGATTAATTGCCCAAGGACTGGGCTAGACTCCCTGAAACAATCAGTGCTATGGAAACAACCATGTTCCCCTAGAACGGGGTGGAAGCTCAGCTTACATGATTGTTTGACGGAGGGCAACTCATGTTGTTCGGCTCAATGTCTTAATTACTCGAACTGGGCAGAACCCCACTAAACACCTGGTTGAACATGGGCGCTTTGTTAGGCCACGCGATTCCGATCTGCTCATACTTGCTTGGATGAGCGTCTCAGGTGGCAGCTTGATGTTGATAGGATGTGGCTCTCGCTGGATACGATTCCGGCCTCGGTGCGAAGGCTAAGGCTTGAATTGAAGGAGGTGGGTGGGGTGCTTTGGCCAAAGGGAAGGCCACGCCTTGCCGGCTTTGGTCTCGCGAGGAAGCAGATCACACGGTTCGGACCAGCCAGCTGTGCAGCAAGGGGGGGATTGGCCGCAACCAAGGCACCAGTTCGATGGGAGGTCATTTCCAGGCATGCATCCAACACGCCAAAGCAAACCACAGGGGAATTGGAAGAAGTTCATGTTCAACCATTTGTGAACCATGCCACCAACTAAAGGCTAACTGCTCCAGGAAGCTCGTGGCAATACCGAAGGCTCAGGAGATTCAACTTGAGATCTTGGGGGTTCAAAACTCAGAACGTTGGGCGGTTGTGGCTGCAGGTTCGCAATGTACAATGGATAACTGTGGTGAAACCACTCGTTTTTTTGGGGGGAGAGAACAGGTTTAGTTCATGTATGTATCGATGGTGAAATGGGACATGGACATGCAATAATCACTTGAACTCCGGTTTTTGCTTCGGACGCCCCAGGTGAAGCTGGCACGTCCGAGTCCGACCGCGTCTACCGCGAATTGATCCATCGCGGCGCGACGCCAGCGATCGTGGGCAAGCAGCGAAGAGCGACTCGGAGGAGTGGAGGGTGAATTCGTTTCAGCGGAAAGTCAGGCTGGTGCGGCTCGTAGGGAAGATAGGGAAGAAGGGAATGACCCCTGCCACTACTGTATATAGGATCCAGCAGGATCCAGCCACCCTCATTCCTTAGCACCAGTCAGGAAAGTGTTGGGAAGTTGAGATGTTTGGGGGTTTACACTCCCCGGTCCCACTGGCCCCTGGAAGTATATAGTTATGTGGATGGCATGGCCGTCGATGTTGTCCGAATACCAAACCGATGGTGAACTCCACTTTCATTTTTTTCCTGTGAGTGCATCAGCTATCAGAATTGAGCAGTTTTTGCCACACTTCTTAGAGAAAGAAGGACCATAAGGATGTCCAACTGCATCTGGCGAGTGCAAAGCCGAATCATGTTGGACTTTTCAAGCTGTTACCTGGTGGCCCTGCTTCACGACATGCCAAGTTGCAGAATGCCAAGAGGAAGCAGCCCTTTTTCCACACTTCCTCAAAAGAAACGGGACATACTATTCTAGCACTTCAAGACCCCCCAAAAAGACTGCAACCCCAAAAAACATCAAAAAACATCCGTCCTTCTTTTTTTTTGTCGATCCTCAAGGGTGGAGAAAAGGTGTTGTGGGATCTGCAGGTGTCGATCCCACAAAAAACATTGACATTGCAACATCCGACCTCAACACAACAACCGCTTTTAGCAAGCCTCTTTGCAGGTCCCCGGCGAGGAGCCGGTGGAGATGGAGCTGTTCACTCCGGCCGCCGCGCGGAAAGCGCGGCTCCTGCCGGAGGACACCGTTGGTTCCGATGGAAGAATTGGGTGGAGACCTGCTCGTTCAACTCCGAAGGTTGGGAGAATAGACCATAACCCATTGGTTAGGAGGTCTCCCTATTTCAGCACACACACACACATCCGCTTGGAAGACCCGCCCGTGTTGGAATTGGGAACGGTCTTGGTACAAGGTGGTTCAATGTTTCCAGCATCTCAAGTGCGAGAAGTGAGGAGATACTATATTACCCTCCCTCCAACAATCATGGAAGTGGACAATGGCCTCTTGGAACACTATTGTCCTCTACAAACATGGAATTGTCCACTTCCATGTTTGTTTCAGGGAGTGCAATATATTTATGATTGGGTGTTTTATTTTAACACATATTTTGTTGAGTTTTGATGACATGGTGAGGCATATGTTCCTGTCGGTGGTGATGCACCGACATGTTTGGAGGATTCTTTGGGGTCCGTGGGGTCCGTGCATCGGTCTGGGCGGTGGTTTGATCACCTCGGAAAGGTGCATCATGGTGGTCTCCAAGCAGCTGGGGAACCTAGTCGATGCTTTTTTCTGGGCCTGATAGATGCATTTCATCGGATCACAGCATGCCGAAACGTGTTAATATCATATACATAATATACCCGACCTCCAACAAACATGGAGGTGGAGCGGCAGGGGGCTTTTCCGCGTCCATGATTGTTTCAGGGATGGTGGCCTTTCATCCAGCGTGGAGTCTGTATACTATATTTACTACATTATTGTATTTCTCTCTGACGACCATGGCCAACAGGAGCGGTCGTATCGGAGCCCTTCTTATCAAAGAATGCCTTCCTTCAGAACCTTTGCTGCATTCAAGAAAGTGCTATTATCACCACATCCCTTGGGTTTGGATTGTAATGTCGACATGTGATTACTAAACTGGGGACCCTTCCACTTTGACCACCAGCAACTGGCTTTAGTTAGTGAGCATTGTGGATGGGGTAGATTTTTGTGAAATGCCAAATTATGGATATGACAGGGGGTTAGTATTGGGATGCAGTTCGGAGGAGATGTGCTTTGAGAATTCCAATGAGAGCAATAACAAAGCATGAAAAACTCATTCATCATGGGCTTGAACACTGACAAAACATTAAAGAAGCGTAAAGACAACAAATTGGGGTGATGTTGGCCTTTCGTCCCTGAGGCAGCAATGACAAAGCATGACAAGTCCATCATGGGCACCAGAATTTTGCTTGAAAATTGACAAAGGAAAATTACATACAACAAATTGGGACAGTTTTTGTTTTTCTGGGTTAGAAACATGCCAACAGTTGTTTGTGTGTTTGATTCTCGATTCGAGCCACTTCCAGATGCAGGAATGAACCATGAAAGTAATTCGTGCTATCTACTAGAGAGGGGATTTGCACCTAATAGCCGCAATCTCGAGACACAATTTCATAAAGCATCATAAACTCATTGAAGATGCTGATATTTTGACTGGTGCAGCCAAGGTTCATTCTTCAGTTTCTGATGGCAGCGGCAACATGGGACGGAGGAGGATTCCGACCACAGAGGATTGGTCCATCAGTGCCATCAGTGCCATCAGCGATGTAGCTATGGTAAACAGGATGTGCTTGACAGATTTGACCGCATTTCTGTTTGCGGAGAACTCTTGAAGACCAACGATCTTTGATCCACCTCCGATCCGCAACGAAATCGGCCACTGGGAGCCGGGGTCTCCGGTGCGAAAGTGTCATGCATGAAAGACCAGCTTTTTGAAAGCAAGGAACGATGATATCCCATGATTCTCCTCACCATCTCTCAGATGTCAACTGTGACCCTAGATTTTGAGAAGGCTTTGAGAGTATAGAGAGCTGAACTGTCCCGCAAGCATCAAAGCAACCAACCGCTCTCGAATGACGCTGACTATTGCTGGTTGAAATATGTCGAAATGTGAGCCACCCAGAAAATACTTTGAGCTACAGAACAGTGGATCTATAGTACCACCCAAACACTCCATGTATGGAATGTATGCTGCTCCATTGACCCCCCAAACCACCTGGCCTGATCGGCAAATATGGCACACATGGAGTGTTTGGGACATAGTAGTCTATACGAGTGTGTACCTGGACTCACAGGTTCCTCTGGACACCTTTTGGCAGCCAAAAGGTTGTTAAGACACCTCTCGAAAGGCCGGGATTTGCTTGTTTCACTGAAGGTAAATCTGCATGAACACCGATTTCTTTTGGTTCAGATGGCGCACAATAGTCCACACACTTCCTAGATGGGTCTTGCACGGTTTTGCCACCTCATGACGGGGCCTTAATGCTTTTATTTGGAGGTTTGGTTCTGCAAGACGGTAGACACTACACTCGCCAGCCAAGCCAACACCTTCGTCGAACATGGAAAGGGGAGACGTCTCCCCCAAAACGATGTTTCCTCCGGCTTCGTCCATGATGGTCGGACTGAGTAGTCAAGTAGTCACTATAGTGTAGACTACTGTGTAGACTCTGCATTGAGTATATCATAGGTATGCATGGGTTTATATATGTTTGCATGATGCATCCTCTCCACACCTGGGGAGAATGCTGGAGCACATTCCCAACAAAAGCAGTCCGACACTGGGCTTCCAGCGATCAGGACACCCAAGGGCACAAACCCTGATCCAGAGGCCTGGGATGTACATAAGCTGCGGCGGCTGCGGCTCGGACATTTGGGACAGACGCAGTGTGAAAGGAATCTACTAAGCCTGATGCAGAGCAGTTTTTCTACTAAGTTGACCGCCATTGATGAAGGATCTCCTGTTTAGCACCACCATGGAGCGAGGTGTACCGGACACGGCTCTCACCACTGCCGTCCGCCGTCCGGAGCAGTTGGGATGTCCAAGTCAAAGCACTAAACGGAGGTTCATTGGTTCATTGGTTGTTCTAATTCCCATTGCATCACGTGCATCCACCGTATGAAAAATGCTAGAATGTGCTAGAAGTGGCTAGAAGTAACTGTAACTGTTTCAAGAACACAACGTGCAGTGATGAGTAGGCTAAGTGGGGGTCGGTACGGCTCGAAATCAATGGAACAAGCACCATAAGCCCCGCAAAATCATCATTGAAACTCAAATGCGATGTAGTTGTTTTGTGTTGTTGCTCTCCGGATCTTGTTGACATGTCTCACTTAAGCGGCTTTGATTCCTTGGAACACTTCCTTCAGCTTGACCGATGCTTTGGCACCGGATGCGAGTCCGCACACTGGTTGGGTGGGTCCGGGGTCGGCTCCACAGGCCTCGAGGTTGGTCGACGCCTCCGGTGGAATCGTCCTTGCTCCGTTCGTAGCGAAGCCCTTGGTTACCAGTAGCGGTTTGTTACTAGTAATGCCAGGAACTACTAGTGGCGTCCTTGCTCCTAGTTCCAAAGCGGATTTTCCAGACGAAAAAAGCATCAAACAGCGCATGGGTCGAACTGAGTTGAGGCTTTTCCGAGTGACCCATCGGACTAGACGGACCTACTATCTCGATCGACCAAGTCCGACTGGCTCGTGGAATGGGGCGTCTGAAGGGGCTAGATTCTTGCCATTAGCGACCTTGGCGACGTGATGCTTTTTCACCTCCGGCTGCGAACACTTTCGAAAACTGTGAGCAAGTTTATTGTATATCACGGACCAGTGATTAGAGATGTTCCACGAATCATCGCTAGACTATACTAGGTCATCACTTTAAACAAGGTCTCGTTTTTGTCACAATGTTATAGAGCCTTTTCAGGTTCAACACTGTGACCAGAAACAGCTTGAAGTTCTTGGATCCATCCAGCGCGAAGACATGTGCGGGCACACCGATGCGCAGCGACCCCGCTTGGAGAACTTGGCAACGGTGCAAAGATGCACGTGACGCAGCTTGGGAGGGTTGTATTTAGATGGTTGCATATAGTCTTGCATGTGTTGTTTTTCCTGGTCTTCAGGATGGTGTGCTTGGAACGAGTTCCAATTTCTGACTTAGAGCTTGCTGGCTTAGACCTTGTCACCTGGGTTGGCTCACTTGAGGCAAACACGAGATGGGTTCTTCAACCTTCGCCCGACCTGTCCACCGGTCGACCTAAGCGATCGTCCCCGGGTAGCTTAGGTCGGTCTCCGACCAATGCCATGACCTACCATGACCGCTGAACATTGTCCTGAAAACGACGTTCCTGCTTCCCGGGGAAGAATGTTTGCATCCAAGACACGGTGGTGTTTTTCTTTTTTCGCAGCCGATGTCCAGGAGACTGGTTTCCCATAATCGATAGTTTTCAGTCAATCAGTTGAATATGTTCCAGCATGTTGGAGTCATTTGGAGTCGAGTCACGACCAGTTGCTGGGAGAAAGTTCGGGAATGCTTGGTTGAAGTGATGTTCATCCTGAAGAACGGTGCTTTACAATTCGTTGCCCAATGTTTGTAGATGTTTGTAGTGTCTATCACTGAGATTTTGGATGTGGCATCTCCACCTGTGTACTTGTTGTGTGCCCAAAACCATGAACATACGGGTGTGTGTTCGCTAACTGTATAACATGTATACGATGAACATGATGCCATCTATACAACTATGTATAACGTTATGTATGATATATGATATGTTATGAGTTATGTGTATTTATATATAGATTATGAATGATCTTGGGCAACCAGAGACGACTGTGCCATCTAGCCAGGACAGCCTTCGAAGACGCGCAGGGCTAGAGGATGACTTCGAGGCAGCAGCCTGTGACGGAGCAGATTCAGATGCAGCCCATTTGCTTCATGAACAGGATGTCACCTGGTCATGTCAGAGATATTTTAATATTGGAGATCCACTGGTTCATCTAAGAAGTTCAAGCATACTCAACTACCAAACTTTAAAGCGACTGTACATGTCGCAGTGACTGGTCCTCAAGACCCGAAGAATGATTCGCCACACACTCTGACTCACTACAATGGAAGAAGAAAATGGATGAACATGGTCCCTGGGAAGACTATTTTCCTCAATGAACAAGGGGTTCCCCACTTCGACCAACAAGTCGGAGTGCAACTCTATTAACTCTATATGTATATATTATATAACAAGCACATAGGGGCTCGCTCCCAGATAAACAAAAAGAAACACGAGCTTTTGCCACCATATCACCTGGAAGGACGCCAAACATGAGCTGGAGGTGACAACCCAAACATTTTGTAAAACATATATGCTTTAAATGCTAAATAATGCAATGATATATACATGCTAAATGTGTTTCTTTTGTTTGTTCAAAGATTTTGTTTGTTTACCACCATCATGGCCCATCATGGCGCTTGCACGTCCCCGCAGAGCAGGCCTATGGTGGTTGGAGTCCTGCAAGCCCTGGAGTCCGCAGTGAGGCGTCGACTACTTGAAACGCTTTGAGCAACAGGGGCATCACTTAAAGCAGGACAGGATCAACAGCGTTATAAATAAGCTGCTATTTAAAACGACGATAAAACCATACTACAGCTTATTGTTAATTCAGCTGAACAATGTTAAACACAATATGATATATATATATTATAGACATACATGTTGATCCTCTCGATTACCTTATTGAGAAACAGCCATGGTACCAATGGCGGTGGATGGCCTGATTTCCACCAGCGTTCATATCCATGCCCAGGGCAGCATTTGTTTTTTTCACAAAGGCACCTACTTCTGATATGGGGAGCGGAGCACAAGATCGAGCGCTGGTCTGACAACAAAGTTCGTATTTCTAGATTTGCTCATCTGGAAAGACTAAGATCTTGCATGGCGTGTCTCCGAAGACCTAAACATCCCCAAAATAAAAGAGGGTGCATCATCATGCATCATGTTTTGCGCCCCAAGACCATTGAGTGCGAGCCAAGGCATCGAACTTTCGTGGTTTCAATTGGAGCTCAAAGACCAAGACGACAGTCGGCCACGATCGGAGTGTAGTCCCAACAGCCCCATAGGCCATAGGCCCCTTATTTGGGGGCCCAATGCATGTCCAACGTCACGGGACATGACGCATGACCCTTGTCGTTAATACGTTACTGTAATTATTTAATAATTATTGGCTGTAGTTGTGGCCTATCACATCATTGCTTTCAAGGAGAACTCACACTCACTTGCATCCAAATCTCCCTCCACACTCCTGAGTACCTCAGACCATCAAAACATTTGGGTTCGCGCCTTCCTCAAACGCTGGATGGAGGCCCCTGCTGTTTGCAAGCACATTGGCAGATAGGAAATTCTTGATCGTTTCCGCAACTGCAGGGGGTTCCCAGCATCGCCCAACGCAGCCAGATAGTAGCTGAGAAACTGGGCTCGACACCACAAGGACGACACCTAGACTTCGCCATGTTTGATCTTTGGAAGCCTGAGAACGCCAAAGCTTTGGTCGATACAATTGGTTGCCTATCTCACTGCATATCGCACTTGAAAAAGAAGATTGATATGCCATCCTTTGGCATTTGTGCACATGACTACGGACAGATGCAAACATGCACAGCCCGGCTGACAGCTGACAGCTGACATGACTATTCCGCTCCATGCTGGCCTCGCCACTCCGTACGTCGTAGGTCCGGTTAGGCACTGAGTTTCTTTTCAGCGCCCAGGCTTGATGAGTCCCGAGTAAGTAGCGTCCGATCGCTCCGTTCGTAGCGATGCCAGGAGCCCCGAACGTAGCGAACATTGCTCTTATTGGCTTTCATCCCCGTTTTGCGGTTTAATAGTTTGAATTACAAAAAACACACTGGTATCACTGGTCAATTGGAAGCAGGCAAGTCGAGCGGCACTTGGCTTCATGTGGTGGGACTGTAAGGCCTAAAGAGCTACTACCAGAGCTTGGAAGTAGGTGTACCATGGTGTACG